CGCTTTTGCAGGACAATCAGCCATTCAAAGCAGCAATCCTGTAACTGATGTGTGTGTGTGTGAGAGCGAGCGAGCGAGCGAGAGCCATGCCCTTCGGGTGCCCAGGAGCGAAGGGAGAAACCAGTTTTCTCCCCCGACCCCTCAGTCCCAGGGAGAGAGAACCCCTGCAGAGCAGCCAAGGTCAAGCCGAGCCTTTCTCGGCTGGGTTTGGAATTAGCTCTCCCGTTCTGGGAGAATTCCTTTCCAGAGCATCATGAGTGCCGATGGGAGGCTGGGCCTCTGTCTTATTACGTTGCATCTGGAAACTAGGTTGCACCTGCCAGCCGGAGAGACGTGGGGAAGTACAACTATCCCCTCACGTGAAGCAAAGCTACCTAAGAACAAGAGGAGGCTCAGTCCGATTACAGAATAAGGCTGTTGGAAGAGACACGTAGGGAAAGCTGAAGGAAACGGGCAGGAAAACATGCACGGATGCTTCGAAAAGCAACTTGCTCCTGTGCTTGGACCATCTCCTGTTCTGCGCTCTCTGTGAGTTTCACAAGAGTAAAGGCTTTGATGTTAGGAACTGCCATCGTCTGCATCACATGCTGGATCTCCTTAAGCTGGAATCGCTTGTTCAGGGAGGTGGATCTGCAGTCCCCTGACAGGGAGCACCATGTGCTGGCAAATTCATCCTTTAAATCAGGCAGCTACGAACAGAGGCGACTAGTCAGAAGTGCGTGCACGCCAACAGGTCCCATCTGGCCTCCCCCTGGCCTGCTTGGGGTGGGGGGAAGGAAGGCGTTGCTTGATGAATGTGCTGCCCCAGCTCTGCCAGCCGGCCTTTTCTGTTCGCTTCCGGTGCCAACACAGAAGCCCTCTCTGTCTCACAGAGACGTTGGAAGAGCTGGGGGAGTCTCTTGGCAGTCTTCCCCAACGAGTGAGGGGGTCTTCTGCACAACGGCTTTTCTTCCAGGCATGTGGCGCAATCGTAGCCGAGCATGTTGAGACCAATTTCCGCCTGTCCCGAGTCTGGCCCTGGCTGGAGGCAGCTCTGCTCCTCCGGCACTGGAAGCTGCAGGAGTTGAGTCCTGGGGGGCAGCCTCCCACCGACTGACAGACGGCCGGCTGGCCACTGTAACCCCCCTGCCCTCTTTCATAGGAGGAAAGTGAATTGTGCAAGACACCAACACCCCACGGAGAAGAGCAGCTGGCAAATGCCACCTTCTGTTTCCATCAGTCGTCTTCAGTGAGCCAGGGGGGCGGGGGGGCAGGTTCAGACATTGGATGGAGAGACTTGGGTTCAAACCCACCTGTGGATGCTCATGGGGTGACTTTGGGCTCCCTCCCAGGGAGGTGGGGAGACATCCCTTGCCAGCCGCCTTGGTCTGTGGAAGGAAGGCAGGAAACTCCACAGCGAAAACCCCCAAATTCCTCCCTGCAGCCAAGGGCCTCCCGAGGAAGCCGTGCCCTGCCGGGGCCCCGGGTTTTGATGGACTTGCCCAGCAAGTTCTTCCCAGACGTGGGGAGCTTCCTTCCAGCCAGCCTGGGCAGGAGCAGCAGCTGGGAGGGAGGCACATCTGGCCAGGAGCTCGTGAGACCGACCGGGAGGCCCTCCAACAACATTGGGGCTGCAATTCCCAAAGGCAGACTGGCTGCAAAGGGCAGGTGGGGCTGGCAGCCCCAACACTTGCAGGGGGCAGGAGTCCCAGGGCTACGCAGCCCGGGGAGAAGGGGCAACCCCTGGCAGCCTTGCTTGTGCCGGGGCCTCTCCCCTCTATCTTGGCCAGGGGCCACTGATGGCCATCCCTGGTGGCGGGGAGGGGTCGCAGCTTCCTCTCCCAAGGAAATTTTACAGCGGGGAGGAAGGCAACCTCAGCCCACCCAAAGAAGTGTCCTATTTCTTCCCTTGTGGTGCGGCATTGCTGCCCAGATGGCCTTGGATAGATGGGCAGCCATAGCAGCGAGCCAAGCAAAGGCATAAACAGACCTCCCCGTGCCACCTTGCCAGAGACAGATCCAGAAGCCAGGCTGAGCAGCCAGCCTGTGGCGGGCGCTGCACGAGAGGACAAAGGCCCCAAGGGGCCGCAATGGGTGGATTATGGATTACGGCCATGTCACCAGACACCGCGGTGCCCCTGAAGGTCACCCACATTCACCACTGCTGGAACAGATGGAACCATTTGAGCTTTTCACAGCATTTCAGGTGGGTTGAAATGAAGTCCCTGCTGGAGGGTGCTTTGGAGCCGGGTCTGTGGGCAGAAACCAAGAAGCCGTTCTCAAATGAAACCAGTGGGTCTGATTCAGGGGATCTGGGACTGCTCCCTGTCCGCAGGGCTGGAAGGACCCGGGTGTTGGCTCCGGTACCCCTGCCTTGGGGGCGCCTTCCTCCGCTGCTACCGGTTGGGGAGGCGGGAGAGGGAGGCAGTTCAGCTCACGTCCCTCCCAGCCAGGTAACACGTGCGGAGAGCTTAATCTGTCGACATCTGGAGCTTCATTCATCACCCATCAGCCCGGGAGATGCGCAGAGGGCTTTGTGCTCAGGTAAGCGAGAGCACTCCAGGTTTGTTACAAGCCCTTCAAACGTGTCTTTCTGGGAGAGAAGAAAAGCAAAGGAAAATCCAGCTCTATGGGCAGGGCTCCTTGCAAGGAAGCTTCTCCGGGGATGGACCTATTTCTTCAGGGGGAACCAGGTGTTGGAGGGCAGGTCCAGAGGCCTCAGTCCCGTTGTGGGCAGGGACTTGCCCATCAGGAGAGGCTCTCAGCTCACCCTCGTCCTCCCCAGCCCAGTTGCAGAGAAGGGGAGCTGGGAGTGGG